CACATGTTAGAGATATACACACCTACATGAACTTTATATACATAAACACATACATAAATACATACATAAGCAGAATACATATTGTTCTAATGATTGTAAGACAAGGCAATATTCCTACGCTAGTCATTAGTTATTAGAATATGGAGTTGAAGTAATGTACCATTTGTTATCTCGAGTAATGGGGTATAACATAAACCATTTCTCTTCTCATCCAGTTCTTAGGTTTTCGCGATTGTTACGCATAAGTATTGTACTATTTTCCGGGTTTAAATTGCGTATATTTGTTTTTTCAAACAAACCGACATTTACAGGTTTACCAGTAAAGGGCCTGAAACCGACCCGAAACCGACATTTACAAGTTTACCTGTAAAGAGCCCGAAACGTCCGTTTGTTTGAAAAAACAAATATACGCGATTTAAATCCGAAAATATGGTTTCATTTCCTACATTTCTCTTCACGCTAAATGTCGTAAATGTCGTATAACGTACTTACGTTATACGAAATTTAGCGCTTGAGCTACTTAGCTCATACGACTTTTCGTAGCTTGCAAAAGCGTTTTTCGAAACATTTTCCACTAATAGTATAAGCTTTCTTTTTTAACCGAATTCAAAAAAGGTGGAGGTTCTCAATTCGTCAGCGTGTCTTTTTTTGTATATATGTTACGCGATAACTCATTTGTGAACCGATTTTGATGATCCTTTTTTTGTTGAAAAAAGGAAACCTCAGAAATTGTCCGTTTTATATTCATTTGAAGAAAACATTCCACCTCCAGGGGTGGTAAACTTAGTTATGAATGACTTTTGAGGTCGGTTTTTTTAGGACTCTGTACTGAAATTATATAATGATATAACACAAATAGATGCAAAATCGAGTATAACTTATTGATGAAATGTTTTTTTTAGAATATCAAGTGACGAGACGAACACAAGTCGTGCGCCTGATGGTGGGCTACACGATTGTCAATAACAGTTGCAGTGCCACTCAGAGCTTTAAATCACAAAAATCTGAAGGGCACTGCCACTGCGCCTCCCCTGGGACATAAGTTGATAAGTCCCATGTGCCTATAATTTCACTAGCACCTTTACGCTTCAAAACCGCGGCTGAAAGAGGTAAGGTGGCAGTACCACCCTAAACGAACTCTTTCACATAGAGCGCTACTGCTACTAAACTAAACATGTGATTTACACCAGCTCAAAATACGATGACCCAAAAAGAAAATACGTTGCCGTAAAAAAAAATAATGTCAGTTATCACAGTTTCACGGGTGCGCAACGAAATAATAAGATGATTAAATGACGTTCTCGCCACGCAGCGGGTTTGTAAAAAAATATGAACTCCCGCTTGATCACAATCTAGACTCCTAAATTAAATGAAGACAACAATAGAGCGAGCTTAAGCAGGAGATGCCAATATATTATATCCTTGAAGATGTCCGGGCTACGAGGTAAAACAGGTGTAGGGCGCGTATTTCATTCGTTAAATTGTGTAACTACGAGTATGTACGTTGTGTAACTATGTGCGCGCGGTATTTTGCTGGCAAACTGAGATGGCCTGAGCTCGTAAATATCTTAAATACGCTCTCCGAAATGCATGTACTGTGAAAAATGCGTCTGTAGACAGTTTAGGCCTGTCTTCAAGTTGTGTAGTATAACTTCTAGACCAGCGCTTTGTCACTAATGGCAGTTCTGCAGTTCACGCACAGTATTCAGAATTTAATTTTTTCAAGTACTGACATTAACAGCTAATAGGTACTAACACCGCCATTTTGGGGTTAAATAATAATTTGTCACAAGTAATATTCAGTTTAATGAAGTTGTGAGTAACTACAGCAGTATGTTAAATGAAACATCGCTTATAATATCAATTGCGCAGGCGCCTGTTCGATTGCATATCAATGCGATAGTTATTTAGTGTAATTGAGCTTATTGGGCTTATTGGACGATGCTTATTGCCACTTATTACTGGTTATTACGTTACAATATTGAGTGCACTGTGACGTCTTTACATTAAATCAGTCTTCATTTGCAAATCCCGGGAATTCCTACTCGGGATTCCTCTTCTATCGGAGGTTGAACAATATCGTAACAATGACTGCTTGGACCGTGTGTCGAACAATCATCAATTCCAGAGGATGCCTCGTAGAGAGGCGAAACTTGTGTAGGCTATATTTGTGGTGGTGGTGAATGTGGTTGCGCTAGTGTTATTTATTTTATTAATTTTATGCGGAGGGAAGCTGGGAAAATTAGTAGCAGTAGAACTCCTTGTGAAAGAGTTCGTCCAGGGAAATAATACCACCTTATCTATTTCTGCCGCCAAGTAGTAAGGTGAGCATTACAGCGATCCGATTTTGAAGAGTAAGGGTGCTGGTAAAATCACAGGCACATGGGATGGGTGGATGGTGACGGGCGTAGTGGAAGTGCCCCTCAGATCTTTGTGATTTAAAGCTGAAAGTGGCACTGCAATTATTAATCAAAAAAAGCTATTTTGCACGATTTTGACTCCACTGAGTTCACGGATTCTATTAATCAATCCTGACATTAGAGGCTGTCGCTCTAAAGGGCAAGGTGGTACTGTAACCTAACCATTCCCATTCAAATTATTTAACCAGGAGTGCCATCTTCTACCAACACTTTGTTTTCCAGTAATTTTGCTCTGGATGATAAGTTGAAGTTATTTATAATTATTATTCCTCACAATAAGGCCGAACTACGACATCTTCCTGAGCTCAATGGTGTTCATAATCACCTTAAATATAATATTAGACATAACTGGTTGATGACTTTACCATCTCGTCAGTCGTGACCGTGAGACCTGTAAAGGGCCCGAAGCGCTGGACGGAGACGTCAGACGATTCGTAACGTTGTAATTAAGAGTGGTTTCTGCTACAAATCTCTTACGTAACTTGCATGATCTCTGAACGTCACAGGCGGAAAGTAGTAAGAGATAGGCAGAAGTAAGCAGTTGTGTTAACAAAAAAGTACAGATTCCTGTTAAAAGTATATGTGTTAAATAAATTGCGCACAGATAGCATTAGGTGCTAATCCGTGGCAGACCGCTAGTGACGCGAGTTGTCAACTGAAGTCATTCTTTTATACGCATCGACAATTAAAAAGCATATCGATACGTAAAAGAAAATTATAAACAGTAAATAAACCGGAACGTGAATGTCTCTTTGCCTATTATTCACCATTCTACCTATTTCTTCCATAAATCAACTCTGCTTTATTACGCATAGAAGGGTAGGGACAACAAGCGTACATGAGGAAATTTAAGATCTCATGTGTCACGGCCGGCACCTTATTTTCTATATTAACGATTCTCGCTAAGAATCGCAAGTGAACAAGGCATAGTATAGGTAAATCTATCTGCTTCTTATTACTTGGTAAATTTATTTCTACTTATTTTTATTTATTTCCTTAACAATAGTAATTGTGTTGGAACAAGATATAAATAAAAAACTTAATCGAGTAACTAATGAAAATGAAATAATAATAATAATAATAATGAATAAATACAATGTCAAATTATAGATGACCTTATCATGTTCATTGACATCCATTTCAATGAGCTTTATTTAGTTTTTATTTTGTTTTAGATTTTGAATGGACTTATACCTACATTATTATGACATTACTTTTGTTCTAAATTATTTATATTTTTAAACTTTAAATAGATTTTTTTATTAATCTTTAATTATTACGTTTATATTAATACATAAACTAATATATAATTGATAAAATGTTAGTAGTTTTTACATGTAAATTTATTTTTCTAATTTAATGAACAAGAGCTGCGCTCACAATTTGCGATGCCCTGCAGGGTTCTACATATATGTACTATAATACAAATTATAAAATCTTGATTTACCATGTAGCTTGCAAATAAATATGAATATGAATATGAGCTGTACGGGGAATATCGTTTTAAGTACTTGTATAAAGATGTATTACTGGTTAATGTGAAAGTATGTATCTATGTGTAACTCCTATTTAAGTATTTTTTTTTAGTTTAACCCCATGATGTCTGTTATGAGGACCTTCTTATTCTTTAGTTTTAAAATCAACTGCCAATTTAATCACCATTATTATTTATCATGTGATGTTATTCTATTATACTAATATGACTTCTGTTCCTTTAAATGACTAAAAACGATAACCTTCATCAGTAAAATACCATAAAACACAATTGCCGAAAATATTCAAAGAAATAAAATTTGCTACAATAGCTATGCATTGTAAACTAAATCTAATAGTGAGTAGTAACTGCCAATATCCTAGCTTTATTCCTTAGCCGGACACCCACGGGAACATATAGGGTGGCTCTGTTTGCAACCGGAATATAAAACACGAGTTCCCGATATTCACTCATTACCATCTCGTCATATTGAATATCATCTCGGATTTAGCCAATTTGAATAAAAGTAAGAAAGAAATTGAAAATAATATAATAATAACTTACCTATGGAATTTGTACGGAAGAGTTAAAATAAATTGTATAAGAATAATTCTGTGTTCTACGTTCAAAATCAATTTTAACAAAATTCACAACCCTGAAAACGAATAAACTTTAGAATATGGTTTTGCGCGTGCTACGGGACTGCTACGGCAATGCTACAGCTACGCGCCACGCGTCGCTACGAGAAACTATGGTTTTTGTACAATCTTTCAGAAAAACTTTCTCCACGCATACTCTCGTCTTACTTGTTCTTGTATCAGGGGAGCATTTATTTTTATAAGATACCTGTTTAAATTGCAAGGCTGAAGTTCAACTTGATAAGACACCGCGTACAAAAAAAATAGTTCCTAGGTCAGTGTAGAATGGGTTGAATAATTTAATGCATTGATTTCCATATTATAGTCACTAGTTCAACCATATTAGTTTATTAATAATTTTTATATTACCCTACTTTAATCACGATTAAAATTCACAAAAAGAACACATAAACTCGGTGAAAAGTTTACAAAACTAATTAAACTCCATTATTCAAATATAAAAATTACCTTATTAGCGTCTGAAAATATTTTGTCGCGTTGACGGCGGGAAGTTTCCCGCCGAATCTAGTTCCGAGAGAGTGCGTCGCGTCAACTCGCGCACATCGCACTCGCGGTTTAGCGGCCGGCGCGCGACTGGCACGTTCGCGGCTCTGCGCGGCGACGGCGGCCGCGCGGGTAAACGCTCCGAAACCGCCCTCGGCAAACAAAACCCCACCCGCCGTAAAGAGCATTTTAGCACGCGCGCCTCCCCCTCCCGCGTCCTGATTTAATAGCGAGCGCGGGCACTGATTCACTTAGCCGAACGCAACTACCGACTCCTTCTCTCTCCCTCCCGCACAGACACTAATCCACTCCGTACCGTCTTTTCCACTCGCACACGCTCGCCGCGCGCGCGCCTGAAAGAGACGGCGTCGCACCCGCGGACACTTCTTTCCTCCAACTCGATTTGCATGCGAGCGGGGGTCGCTCCGCAAACTTTATGTCCTTGTTTCGTAAATTATTTATACGTTTGGAAATACTTTTAACAGTGCTTGGCGGGTGAAAAGATTGCTTTAAAACAGGCCGAATTAAATGACCGATGCCGCCGTTGCCGCCCCGGGTCGCAGATTCATTGGGCTGGTGGATAAGGGCGGCGCGTAATCATTTTCTACTCACCCGTTGATCGCTTTGACATGCAAATAACACCGTGTTGGAAATCCTTAATTATGTATTTACCTTTACCAAGTTTCACAAGTTACTTGAATTCAATAAAATGTACTCGTAAATTGTTACTGTAAGTGTGTTTCTATCTTTTAAGGATCTTTGACGCGGATGTAGAGTCAAACTTAATTATAACTTTTTTACAAAAAAAATGACGTCAAAAATTTGTTGAGTTAAATCCGGTTACTAAGTTCTTTTGAAATCAATTAACGGAAAGTATATAAAATCCGATATACCAAAATCATCCCCTATTTTGCCATCCTTAGAGTTGGAAAATTGTCTACAAATTTGAATGGGATCACTACTAAGGGATACCTTTCCAACACAAAAAGAATCATCGAAATCGGTTCACAAATTTCGAAGTAATAGCGTAACAAAAAATACACTCATATTGAGAATCTCCTCCTTTTTTGAAGTAGTTTAAAAATTGTTCACTATTAAAATAGCGAACATTTGTAACAATTACAAACTCTTTAAGGTCAAAAGGCGTACAAGAATATTCGGTGTTTTCTCAACTCTGCCCTTGAGACATGGGGGTAGGCTGAAGCGGGAGAGGCGTAATGAAATAAAAGAAAAGCCGACACTAATGAAGAGTGGATAACGCGATCGCAGATGCGGCAGATAAATCAATTAACCCAACTACGAGTAATCTGATTCTCTCCACAAAACCCTTCACCTTGAAATCTACAGGCTGATTTTGTTCGACAATTACTAAGTAAAATATTATTAGCGAGTTTTTCGTTATTTTAGGCCTTAGGGTGTCACCACACTTACCAACACTGAACCGGTCAGAAAAAGCGCTATGTCCTTTTTTTATAATACCAAGTGACAAGACGAACAAGTCATGCGCCTGATGGTAAGCTACACAGTATCAGTGCTGCTCAGAGCTTTAAAAGATCGCATTTCCCGTGACCACAGCTAGTGCAACCTGGCCGAAACGTCGGAATAATAGGTAGGTGTGCCCCGTTTTGTAATGTTAGAATAATCTTAACAATAGTTTGGTTGACGCTGCGTGTGTAGAATGCCATTAACGTTCATTTTAATAAAGTATTAAGTTCAAGCGTAATTAAAATGATCTATGAATTTCAAGGTCATTCTGTGATTCATTGTTTGTTAAAAGTACTGTAGCGAATCGCTACAAATCTCTTTGTAAAATTTTATAATATAGTATTTTTTAAGCTTAGTTTTATATTTAAATTCTAAATTTAAATATGTTTGTTTTTGGCGCCTTTTCTTGACTTTGTTTAGGGTTTGTTGTTTTGCTTTGATAGCTACGTGGTGTTTTCTAATAAATTATTAAAAGCTGTAAGTACATTTGCTTGGCCTTGCTCACTCGTTGTTAGCACCCACCCTTTAACACATTGATACTATCCGGTACAAGTACTGCGATGGTTTTTTTACAATTTGCCATTATTGTGACCACTATCGCCATCTATGGAACTTAAGTATTGCTATGCCAAGTCTTCTTCCAAGTCTTTTTTTTATAATATCAAGAGACAAGACACAAGAGGATACCTCAGAAATTGTCCCTTTTATATTAATTTGAAGAAAACATTCCATAACATGACTTTTGAGGTCGGTTTTTTTAGTGCTCTGTACTGAAATTATATAATGAATGTACCACAATTAGATGCAAGATCGAGTATTACTTATTGATGAAATGTTTTTTTTAGAATATCAAGTGACGGGACGAACACAAGTCGTGCGCCTGATTGTAAGCTACACGCCTGTCCATAACAATATCAGTGTCACTCAGAGCTTTAAATCGCAAAGGTCTTATGGGCACTGCCACTGCGCCCGTCACACTGAGACATGAGTTGACAACTCCCATGTACCTGTAATTTCACCCTTCAAAACCGGAACAGAGTTATGCTGACATTACTGCTTGACGTCAGAAATAGGTAAGGTGGCAGTTCTTCCCTAGACGAACTCTTTCACATGGAGCTCTCCTGCTAGTAAATATGTCCATGCAAAAAGAGCGCCAAAACGAAACGCGCAATGGCTGTTTCACTCTCATTGCATAGACATAAAGTCTTTTCTGACCGGCTTAATACGACAGTGTGTTAATAAATATGGTGACTCCCTAACGTGCACTTTTGCGTATAACTTTGATAAAGTAAATTTCTACTCAGAGATTTTATCTTGACAAAACCATGTCTCAAAAATACATTTTTTATCCAACAAACTGTTAATATATCACTACTATGGATCACATTAATCATCATCTTGATATAAGAAGTAATTTGGATGTAATTTTTAGTCACAAAATGAATGTATTTATAATATTATTGGAAATACTGTTAGTACCTACAGGCATTAACACAGGTAATTAGCACAAACATATCCCGTCGGGATTTTTTTTGGTGCTATTGTGATCGGTAAAACGAATTCATTTGCATTATATTTTGTAATCATTGTGGTTTTTGATCATTTTTAAATTCAAGTTTTAATACTTTTACCCTTTAAATACTTTTAAGCCGCCAAATCCCGGTTTAAGAATAAGACTTTATGACGACACAGAAGTCTTGCTAGAAGTTATTTTAATTATATTTATATAACTAATAACTGTTTTATTGTTAAATAAATAAAATAAATCAATTTTTTCTTATTTAGTTCTTATTTCGTCTGCATTTTTTTTCGTGTGTTTCGTTCGCTTTCGATGTTTCTTTTTTTTTGTTGGAACGGGGGTACCTCACTAGTGATCACATTGAAATTTGAAGAAAATATTCCTCCTTTAAGGTTGGCAACTTAGATGAATCCGATTTGTTCACTTTCACCCACTTTCCTTTCCGGTTTCAAAATAAATTTTTATTAAAAAAAAAAATAATTGCTAAGCTTTAAGTAATAAAAAGAAATTAAAAAATACAGGTACTCATTAACTTGGTATAGGCATCGCAACTACATAGCTTCTAAGATTTAATTGTATAGCTTTATGAAGATTTTTAGTAGCAGTAGAGCTACTTGAGAAAGAGTTCATCCAGGGAAATACTGCCACCTTATCTATTTATGCCGCTAAGCAGTAATGTGGGCGTTTCTGTTTTAAAGGGTAACGTTGATAACGTTGGTAACGTTATAAAGGCGAACGTATGTCTCATGGTGAAGGGCAGTGGTAGTGCCCCTCAGATGTTTGCGATTTAAAGTTCTAAGCAGCACTGCAACTGTTATGGACAGGTGTGTCGCTTACTACAATGCGGAAGACTTGTTCATCCCGTCACTTTTTATCGCAATAAAATGTTACTATTGAATTGTTTTATTAATATTATCGTAACTTCCTTTGAATTTGTCTTACTTGTATTAGAGTTATCTTTACCTTTGTGTCGACAACGTTTTGATATCTCAAAATTTTTTCTCAAATTCTCAAAATCTTTGATATGTCCTATCGGACATATCCTTAATTTTCTGTCGGAGACAACTTAATCGTGATTTTATATGTGTATATTAAGGAAACCAAATCTCCTATACTATCAGCATAGTTGAAGGCTACCTAGTTTCAAAAAAGATTTGTTAAAAAGCGGAATTTGTGGCTAGCCCCGTCCCTCATTTTTAACCGACTTGAAAAAAAGAGGAGGTTCTCAATTCGACTGTATTTTTTTATGTATGTTTAGTAAGTTAAGCGATTACTCAGGCGAAATTTGTGAACCGATTTTGATGATTCAATTTTTGTTGGAAAGAGGGTACCTCAATATTGATCCCATTTAAATTAGAAGAATAATATTCCGTCTCTGAGGGTGGCAAAGTTTCGGTGGTGGTTTCGCACACTTTTCGGCAACTGATTTCAATAAAACTTAGCAAAGAGATGTAATTCCAAGAACTTTTGAGGTCGATTTTTATTTTTATAAAAAAATTATGTTGACTCTTTTTTTCATTAAAATCTTTTGTTTATAATAAAAATATGATGTGGTTACGTCACTGCCTACAAACAAAGACCTTAAGTTGGTAACAGGTCAACTTTGCAGATAGTACATGTTATGGAATAGTCGTTCATTTGCGGACAAGAAGTGACAAGACATTACATAGCTATCGCATCCCAAATCTTATTACCTTTCTTATCTTAACTAATAATAACAGTAGTGAGTACCTATACGTCGACATCTAAACTTAAGCTATTAAATTAGCCATCATTGGGTTACCATTAGTGGAAGCAAACTAACTTCTAATGGCGTTCGTGACCCCTTTACCAACTTCTGCTTTATTGGACCCACTTACACTGCCCTTACCATTGGTTTCATACCTTGTCAATTTTGTTTTTCACTATTATATTTTACGAACTTATAGCTTTATAAATACAAGCAGTTTATGAATAAAAATAATTGAACTGGATTCTATTCCCACTATGGTATATAATTCTTTTCTTACAAGATTGCACTGTCCATCAGACAGAAAAAATAACTCCTTTTGTTGTAGAGAGTTACTGAAATATTTTTTCGTGAAACTCCATCGTTTTCTTTAAGTCGCTCTTGGTAAGGGATATCATTCTGTAACAAATTTATTTACTAATTAAGCTCTGTATACTTAAAAAATTAATATCTTA